TTTCCCAAAGCATTATGATAAAACTTATGCGGCTGAAGAATGAGTAACTTCAATGCTTCTCTCTGCTAAATTATCTTTTTCCCCTGGACGGAGTGATGAATTTCTTAACAGAATTATCAACCTTTGCTGATGTAATTCCAATCGAAATCAAACTTATGTCTAACTTTTGTTGTTTGGTGATAATTGAGTTCCATTTAGCAACTTGGATTTACAATGATGGTTGAGAAACTTATGTTTCTGGTATGGCAGATCACCTAACTAGTCATAACGAGGTTTTCCGAAGTTCTGTTACACCAGCACTTGTAGTTCTGAGCAGAGGGCAGTGAACAATGTGATTTCTTTCCGGGGTCTGGTGGGTGCTATGGAGTTTGTTACCTGAATGTGGTGATCTCCTTGGTAATTGTTGATAGTCATCTGTTGCACCGTAGTTCGTGAAGATCCGTTGATTATTTCTTTGTGTTTGTCGTCGTCGGTAATCTGATCAGTGAAACTTTTTGCGAACAAGATGTACGTAAATTGCGAATGGCCATATTACTTTTTTTTCCTGAAGTGAAAACTCTCCGTGGAATTTTATTATTCTGATGGACGATTGTAGAGTAGAGATGAGAATTGAATCCGGACCACTGATCAGGGTTGATAGAAACTATGATTTGTTTCCGTGTACTGTCCAAATCCTCACCACCACCCCACCCGACTAGTTGGTGGCAGCTACTTTGCTGCCCCTCCTGTAGTACTAGTCGAAACAGATGTTACCACCGCCTTTTGCCTAGTTGGTCGTTGCGTATGACCCTGTTGCTGAAATCGAAGGGCTGTTGTTGTTGGTAGCCACCATCACTCGCTGAGTTCCACTTCCGAAGGCCTTGCTAGTGTACAAATTTGAATGCCTGCAGCTTTGAGACTTGGTTCGCTACGGACCTGCTGATTGAGCAATTTGTTGCCCAGACTTGGTTCGTTATATGTCCGGTGAATCCAATCTGACCGCCGGGCAACAGAAGTTGAATTATATTCCACAAGAAACAAAAGAAATGAGCGTGGAAAGGGGCAGTGTTCGCCTCCTTAACTGATTCCATCAATCACTTTTCTGGTTGTCTGGTTATTCATACGGACATTACCAACAATTCCATTTGGTCAAAGTTTGCATGCAAGTGACCCTCATAATTTATAACCCATGTACCATAAGTCCTCGAATCAGGGATAGAGAAAATATAACCATGCAATTGATAGTGCCAGATCAGCTGGAGAGAGAGTGAGAGAGTCCCATTTTCTTCAGGGTGACAGGGGCTTTATAAGCCATGTGTGGTGTGTCGATGAAGACTGTTTGCAGGGCTTCCCTTTATAGGTTAGTGCCTTTGTCAGAAATGGGAAGTTGCTAACTTTTCAAGAGGAGAGCAATGCTATGCCCCGAACGTCCTGTTCCTCTCATCTCTTGCAGGGACCGTAATGGGGTTTACTGCACTTGGAATTCATCAAGTAAAGCTCAGAAAAAGAAAACGTTTCTTCTTCCTCTTGCTTGTTTCTCTAGGTGCCAACAAAGTCGCATGTGCATTTAATCCGGCAATTTTTGGACTTTCAGAACATCCCGCGAGGATGCCGTGCGGGGTTATCATTTCATTTCTAAACAATTTTGAAACGTTTGAATAATCATCATTGAACTGTCAAAACAGCTAATTCCCTTCTGTAGTACTCGTCTGTTGCGGGACCAGATTGCCTTTTTGGTGAGAACTGAGCAGGAAGATAGCTCTGGCTCATTTATTTGTGCTCTGTTTTTCCGGTTTGACTTCGAAATGGCAGATGCCATGACAATGCTCTCGCTTGAGAACGACACTGATGATCCTGTCATCTGGTTAGGGGGAAAACATTTGAAAAACGACTTTCTGTATTCTGGACCACTGATTGCTCAATCACTTCCTCCTCGTTTGGTCACAGCTGTTCTGTTGAATTCTCTGACACGGCAAAAACTCTTGCCCTGAATTTCAAAGAAAAAATGGGCAAAGAATCAATTAGAGCTGCTCTCAACCATCTCATCAGTAGCGAGATTAGACTTGAATTTGGCTGCATGCTCGCGATAGATGGAGGTACATCAATTTTCATCGAACGAAACCCTACATATCCCATCTCGAGAGTCGATGGATCGATTGAGTTTGTAAGGTTCGCGTAGCGCGAGATTATAGAGGTAATAAGACAATAGAGAGAGAAGTAGGTTGCATTTGACCTGCCTTCATTACCACTAAACCAAAAGCTTAGGACAGATTTAATGGTGGGGTGCGTCGGGGGGGTCCGAATGTGATGCCACTACATTGCAATGCTTGGAATCAAGTTTCATCGCGCTCTGCATTTTCTCCTCTTGAGGGCGAAAGCACACCAAATTTTTTGTTTGCTACTTATGATTTCTTCATTTCCTATTTTAAATTGGACTTCGCAATATCCTTGCTATAGCTCGGACACCCATCTTCTTTCTTTGGGCTTCATTATTATTATTATTATTATTTCTTGGTTTTTTTTGCTAGAAATTATTATTTCTTGTTGCCACTGAGAATTTATGGCTAACTGCAAAGACCATCTTCAACTTTAATTTCCATGTAACCCGCTTCATATTTCAAAACCTTTGTTAACGATATTAGGATATCTATTTGATTCTACATATCTCTCAAGATTATACATATATTTCTTTTGATATTGCATATCCTTGATTGATTTAGATTTAATATTATGTTTATCTTGTTATCTTAATTAGTTATCTAATAAGCCTATAAATTGGCTCTCCATGTACTCTTTTATAAATCATCAAATATACAGAACATTCTCTATTCCTCTCTTCTGCATTCTTACATTTAACTACCTTCATTTTACATCTTCGAGACCTTAGAAAGACCTATTTGCACTCATGCACACCCACGATATGCGGTCGAATAGTGAATCCAATGCCGAGAATGGAGTAGCTTGAGAAAGAGAACAGTGACTGGGTAAATTATGGAGCGTGGGAGATTGCAGTCGGAGATACAATGCAAAAAGTGAGGATGGATGTACGTGGGTTCATTTAGATATGTTATAAAGTTCGAATTTAGGCTTCCTCTTGGCGAAAGCTAAAGTTTTAACTAGCACTTATCTCAATTTATAGTAGAATGACAAATAAAATATATATATATCGAAAATAATTAAAGCAGTCGAGTTCTCGTGAGATTTTGTAAGACTATAGCCAACTGTTCTAAAGCCTAAATTGTTAGATGAATACGTGATTAATATACAATTATTCTTATACTTAGTTTGATATTTTTGCCTAGTATTAAACGTGGACATATTTAATTAGGGAAGTAAATGGGGTTTGGAAAAAATTTAAATACAAAACCTCCGGCTATAATATCATATAAGATTTGATAGACCACAATCGACTATTCTAAAAATTTAAATTATTACATAAATACGTAATTTAATATTTAATTATTTTACCAGTTATCCAAACTAATTTTGGCACGTCAAACATTTTAATCCCTCGACCAGCTTCGTGTCGAAACCCTCACAGTCACATCGTACAAGCACTGAAACCAAAGAATCTTCCCAAAAAAATTACACTCGAGCAATTATTTATATCTCTACGTCTGGAAACCATGTACTATACTCGGGTAGTGCTGGACACCATATCGCACGTCAATCAAGGTCAATAAAGAAATCGAGAGGTCCCTCTGATTTTCGAAGTTTGGTCGCTTCCCACGGCCCGGATTCCCCATTGGCCTACTAAACTTGATAATATCGATTAGGTTTGTGTCATTACCCACAATCGTATACATGTGTGTGGACAAGGAAGTGATGTCTATCAAATGTCCGAATCCCATTAATAGAAAGTATTATTTCTTTTCTTCGTTTGATTTCGAAGCTGTGGATTTTCAATCTTTGGTGGTTGAGGGGTGTGTCCAGGTTCTCGTGAAGACTGTACATTCGACAGGACACCTTTTGTTTGGACGTAGCATGTCGTCTATTGCTATGTTTTCATAAGGTTTTTTGGGAGGGCAAAATACTCTCACCTAAATTAACTTTTATCCGATGTGCATGTAACTAGCAAGTTGAGCTCCACAATAATCGTATTTATGCCTAAATTGTTAATATCCATTGTTTATCGAGTCATCTATGTATTTCCAAACTTATCATGCAAGAAGGCGGTCGTTTATTATTTATTTATAGAAATTAGTCTAGTATCAACATTCATTATGTGAGTTTGACAACGTCGGATAAGCGATGTCTCAAACTCTTTCAAAAATGCCTTATGTAAATCAACTTAGGCAGTATGCTCATGAGTATCCCTCGTGCCACTAATAAAGACAATAGATACATTTCGACAATAGATTGTTTCTAAATACCAAATATTTTTTCGACAAAAACAACATAGAATATGAATTCTTTTTCTTATCGATTATTTTCTACTTTCTAGATGCTAATTAAAAGATTATCCATGATACAACTTTATTAACCTTAGAGAAAATTTCAGCTGAAATAATTATATGTACCATTAGTATAATAATACAAAAGTTGGAAAAATGGGAACTACTAATACACCCATTGACGAAGCACCTCTCTTGAAAACATGATCCGAACGCATTTTCTTCGAGAGTAATCACACATTGGTGTGGTTACTTTTATCAAGGGTTTTCCTTGGATCCTTGATGTCCCTCATCAAGGAAGAGGTGTCGAAACTCTTACAAGGGTCTCTGCGGCCTGTCCATTCGCATTGTAGTAATGACGGGCTTTACAGATGCGATTCTTATTTTAACGTGCCGGTGCCCACGTCTTGTGCCCCCAGTTTCTCTTCTTTAGTTTTTGTCTTCTCGAGAAGGAGGAAATGCCCTTCGTATGCTTTATATCTCAAAGTCCAGAGAAGGTCCGGGAGGAAACCTTTTTAAGGACATGCTTAGCTCTGGTCCTCTAGAGTAATCACACGTTAAAAAAGTCGGTAGTTGTCCTGTCCAGACGACACGAACACGTACCTGCATTCCTGTCTCCTTATGCCGACCAAAACCAGACCTCCCTCCATCCATTAAAGAGCCTACCCAAAACCACCTTCAAATCCTGTCCATGGCCATACTCGGCCACCGCTCCCGTCTTCTTCACCTCACTTTTCTCTTCCTCGCCACCATCTTCAACTCCAACTGCTCGCTTTCCCTCTCGTCTCCGACGCCAAACCAGCAGCTCCTCCTGCTCCCGCTCAAAACCCAGCACGTCCCGCACCCCTCCTCGTCCCTCCCGAGAACAAGAGCCTCCGCCGCCGCCGGCGGTAGCAAGCTCCCCTTCCGCCACAACGTCACCCTCACCGTCTCCCTCTCCATCGGGACCCCGCCGCAGCCCGCCACCATGGTCCTAGACACCGGCAGCGAGCTCTCCTGGCTCCGCTGCAGCTCCCCGACCTCGCAGCAGCCCGTCTTCCGCCCGCTCGCCTCCAAGTCCTACTCCACCGTCCCCTGCTCTTCCCCGACCTGCGCGGAACGGACCCGAGACCTGCCCTTGCCCGCTTCCTGCGACGCGAGCAAGCGCTGCCACGTCGTCGTGTCCTACGCCGACGCCTCCTCCGCCGAGGGCACCCTCGTGTCGGACACCCTCCTGATCGGCCCGTCGGCTCGGCCCGGTTTCCTGTTCGGGTGCATGGATTCGGGCCAGAGCAGCAGCCCGGAGGAGGACGCCAAGACCACCGGGCTCATGGGCATGAACCGCGGGTCCCTGTCCCTCGTGACCCAGATGGGAGTGGGCATGTTCTCGTACTGCATCTCGGGCCTCGACTCCTCCGGCGTCCTGCTGTTCGGGGACGCGGGCTTCGATTGGGTCGGGCCCCTGAACTACACCCCGTTGGTCCAGATCTCGACCCCGTTGCCCTACTTCGACCGGGTCGCGTACACGGTCCAAATGGAGGGCATCAAGGTCTCCGGCAAAGTCCTGCCCCTCCCGAAGTCCGTGTTCGAGCCCGACCACACCGGGGCGGGCCAGACCATGGTCGACTCGGGCACCCAGTTCACCTTCCTCCTCGGACCGGTGTACACTGCGTTAAAGAACGAGTTCTCAGGACAGACTCGGGGCACGCTGAGAGTCCTGAACGACCCGAATTTCGTGTTCCAAGGGGCGATGGACCTGTGCTACCTCGTCCCTTCGGCTCGGCCCGAATTGCCCGAACTGCCGGAGGTGAGGCTGGTTTTTCGGGGGGCCGAGATGAGCGTGCCGGGCCGGAGGCTACTGTATCGGGTGCCCGGGGAGAGGAGGGGGAGTGATTGGGTGTATTGCTTCACATTCGGGAACTCTGATCTGCTGGGCGTAGAGGCGTTTGTGATCGGTCATCACCATCAGCAGGACATGTGGATGGAGTTCGATTTGGAGAGGTCAAGGGTCGGGTTCGCTGAGGTTAGGTGTGATCTTGCTAGTCAACGGCTTGGCTTAGGTTAGGGGCGGGGTGTGGTGTAGGTCAACCTAGAGTGGGACCAAATAGTCCACATTGTTTCTTGATATGAGGCGGCCACAATTTTATTACATGATCGATCCATAATTTGAATCGATATTATCTGAATCAATAATCATGAGAGTCTTAACATGAGGCATAACTGATCCACATGGACTTAGTATACATGTTTTATAGATTACTCGATATTCTTTTCAAAAAAAAAAAGTTGGGCGATGCAAGAGGAAGGGGATGCTATTTAGGTAGAGAACTTTGACTGTTATACAATTCGTGCAAAGTTTCGATTTTAGGTTATCATCAATGTATGTTGAGTGCATTTTAGATGATTATTTTTCTAAATCGAGAGTAATCACCCGGATAATTGTTGTAATATGCATTGAGAAGAGGTTTTATATACCATGCATCATGTAAGGTTTATACAGATTTAGTTTCTAAAGTGATCAAGCAAGAAAGTACATAAATACGGTGTTTGCTCTTCTTTAGGCCTTCTTCTTTATAAGAGGTCTCCTCTATCTCAATGGTGATAGCTTTCGCAAAACCCTACCCAATTTTAAACCCTGAACACCCATATCCCCGTTCCATTGCCCTACCAAAACCCTAAACACCCATTGACCCACTTCACTGTTACATTCCCGAAACCCACCCCTTCAAATCCATTCCCTCGTCTGAATCGATGTGCTTCCACCAACCCAATCATTCACACTTTTAACACCAATCCATGTGCAAATTTCTACTAAATTAGCAATAGGCGAGTGCCCTATTCCCTTCGACACTATGGCTGTCCCTATTATCTCGGTATAGGTCCTACATTGCGTTTTCGAAACCAAAAGCCAGACACTCTCGGCGATGGTCGACTTGCTGGCTCGGCTCGAGGGGTTTGATCAGTGGACCTTCTAGGTGCGAGCGTAGTTGTTGTGCCCAGACGCAGCTCCTTGGTTATCTTGCTTGCTTCGTGGAGATTTTCCTTTGCTTGTTCTTCAAGCAGTAAGCACTGATGGGGTGAATAGCTGCTGTACTCAGAATGCATCCATCAATTTCTACCATGTTTAATATAAACCAGAATGAAACGTGAGAATGAATCTAATATTTGCTCGGCTGCTTTATGTAAAAAGTTGGGTGATTTATGGCCGGAAGATGATGTAGTGTCGATCACGGGTGAGATTCCTTCGGAGAAAAAACGAGAATGTGACTTAACTCTATATGAGAAACTCTACTCTTAGTCAAAATGTTAATTTCCAAGCCTTTATTAGCGCAATAAGAAAGGCGTAAAAATCTGAACTATTGCGCGTGCTCCAATAGAACCAGGATTCTTTTCGTTCACTTTCGGCTCGGTTGTAGAGGTGAAAAGGTGTTGGAAGCTAGTCCTTAGTCTTTCTCAAGTAATTTGCTGGTTCTTCGGCAATGTGATCCTGATATCCTCAAATATTGCTATGAATTCACACATTGTGCTTTTTGGGTCCGTATCCAAGGCCTCCCATTAGAAAGAGTCTTGGAGGAAGTGGTGCGAAATGTTGCTGAGAAAATAGGCCTGGTGTAGGACGTAAAGTTAGAATCCAAAAGCAACAGTCCTTATAAGGTTGGGAAAGCAAAGAGTTTATCTGGGTTTATTTTCCCCCTAAAGTCTAGAACCGTTGTTAAGTGTTAACCTGGGTCATAAAAAGCTTTGGGAAAGGCTCCCACGCTTCTGCTACTCTTGTGGGCGTGTAGGCCATTATGCCACCTTTTGTAAGGAGGTGCCTTGCAAAGAGTCGGTGTTAGAAGAAAACATAGCAGGTAAGTTTGGCCAATGGCTTAAAGCTGAAGTGTGTGAATTAAGGCCCTTTCGGAAGTTATTCTATGGAAAGGAGCTGCCCGCTCTTGGGGATGAAGAGACGGTTCCTGAAACGTCAACCCATCAGCAGCATATGATTATTACTAGACCCCTCTAAGATTTGTTATGTTTAGATGCTGATTGTCGTTATTCTACTAGTTGTGCTATTTAAATGAAACTAGTTCGTTTCGACTCAAAAAAATTAGAACTGGAGATCGGCCCGCATACTCTAATCAATTTCAGGCTAGGGTCGATGGAAGCGTCGGGAGACATTGTTCGGTGAATCTATTCAACACATATCCTAGGCTTTCGTGTCATTGTTGACGACAAGAGCCTGCTCAGTACCAACTGAGCAGAGGCCAAAGTGGAACAACCACGCATAAACCGACAAATGAAACATCTGTCTGTCGTTGTACTGCAGAGACGAGAAAAAAAGGAAGAGAGAGGACTCGGGTCTCTTTCTGACTGGCTCTGAAGTCCTCCCCTCCATCACGAAAATTCAGGACGAACGAGAACCACGCGTACGTGTGCTTTTGTAGGTCTCTTCTCCTCTCCCGCTGTCTTCTGTACTCGATTCACACTCAAGACCGTCCCCAACTTAAGACCGTCTCTTTTGGCAGTATCGCCACCATTCGTGTCCGTAATTGCGATGAACGAGGGCCATACGTACGCGTCTCTGATTCTTTCTGATGCTTCTTTAAGTGCATCGTCAACACCCACCGATGCACGCGCACTGGACCTGTTTTTATGGCAATTAACTTCCTAGTGCTTGGACCCACCTTTGAAGCTTCCAAACCGGGTTTAATGCGAGGTTGCTCGGACCTGCTCGCCTCTTAGAATGTCTCGGAATGATCGGGCCGAGCCGGGGTGGGCCGAGCCGATAGCCGAGCTCAATGTATTGCCCCGCACCGTGCGGAGCCTAAACGGTGCATTAAAATGTTTGGTTCGAGCTCGGCCAGGGCCAAAGTTGGCAGACCAGATAAAGCGAGGCTGTTCTCTAAACCCACCATTTTGCCGATCGAGCCTAAGCGGGCGGGCCGCCCATTCGCTGATTAGTCTTGTCAGTGCAATCGTGCAATGTATCGCGAACTCAACGATCGTTTTCGTCGAATCGAATGTCACGCCTGAAACTCGGTTGTCAGTTCTCTCTCACCAACATTTGTTCATGCGTCGGCCTTTCTTCATCCACTTACAGCCGCCCCACGTCAAGACAAGGACTCATAAATTATATAATTTCTAAAAGTTGCAACGCTGGCCACTAACTTTTCCGTACTCTCTTACCAAAACATCTCAATATGATATGCCGTCAAAAATAAATTAAACCGTGTTGATTTCGAGTTAATTAGGTTCACGTCGGCGTCGGCTTACGAAAGTAAAATGAAGGATTAAATAAGCACGGGTTTCTAAGTTGTTAAACGAACTTAAAAATCTTATCCTCCACTTCCAAAATAAATTTTTTTATGCCCGTCCTATTATAAATCTGAAAGGTAACTCGAGTGATTATTACTTAGATTTGATCTGCGATGATAATCATCTACATGATTAAGCATTGCTAGCTTTTCTCTATGTCACCTTCTATCTATCTTATGCTTAGAAAACGCTTTACATTGTTGTAAAAACTACGTTTGCTGGAAACAATTACGGTAAAGTGAATCCAAAATCTCAGGTTGCCATGAACGAGAAGAAAGGCGATGCCGAAACGACGTCGTTGAAGGGCCAATGCGGGACGGAGCATCAACGCCCAACGGTTTAACTGTTGCTCCTCCTACCCAGACGTACGAGGAACGCGTCGGCTTTGTCTGTCTTTCGAGAGGGAGACGAGGCGCCCCAGAGCGAGCGAGGGCGAGCCCAGAAGCGCGACTCGTCCGACTCGACTCAGATCTCTCCCGCTCTCTCAACTCGGGCCCCTCTCTCGATTCCTTGATAAAGTTGAGGCCTTTTCGCGGGAAGAGTTCGACCGCGATATCAAATTGGTTGTTTTTTCTTGTTGTCGACTGGTTGGATGAGCATGATCCTGTGAGTTCTTCAATACCCTTTTTCTTTTTTCTGTTGTTTCCGATGATCATTTTAACGCAAGTGTTGTGCCGGAAGGATAAAGATGCAAACTTTGGGGATACGGTCCAGAATTGTGGGGAATGCGAGCTAGGGATTGGTTCAGAAATTGGGGAAATGGGTTGTGGTGAACTTTGGGCGCAGGGCTCCTTCCGAATTAATCTTTTCAGCTACCTTAAAATGTTTGGCTTCACAATTTTACAGTGTTAGTCTTCGTGCAGTAAATGTGCTTGCTTCTGCCAATGTTCGATTTTTTTGGAGTTTCATGGTTGCTTTGGAATTTCTTATGCAGCGATGTCGTCGCCGGCATTTTGATTGTGCCCAATGTACATGAGATCAGGGTTTCTTCTCTCGTTGAAGAAGTTTGATGATTATCGATTTCACCTGAAAATGCTTTTTACTTGCCTAGTTGTCCGTCAAATATGACTGCCGAGTTCACAATTTCCCTTGATATTTGCAGATAATTGAAGGGACGGTTGGTCGTGCTTGATTTTTACACATTCGACCAGCTCTGACTGTTGTTCTTTGGAAACTTGTACGGAGATGAGTTTTGTGTTTCGAGGTAGTAGACCAGATATAGAGACTGGATTTCCAGAATTTATTCCCGAGCGTCGCGCTGTGGTATGTTTCTCGTACTTAAACAATGGCTAGCATGGTGCTTACCAAGTTTGATGCTACATTTGATTTCATCTTGTCCTAGTTGTTTGTATCGCTTAAATTTTTCTGTTTGTACCAGCGTCTTCATGCAGCACGACCGGTTAAGTCTAACTCACTAGCATTTCTTGTCACAGGTATATTTGTTGCTTCAAGAAATATTGTTCTTATTTAGGTTTATTAGCTATGTCAATTGTCAAAATTATGTATTCGATTCATCTGTGGTTTTGATTGTAACAGTTCTCCTGCTATTCATGATTCTCAACTCCAACCAGATGTCACCGAACTTTTTGGTGCTGTTCTAGACTTTTAAACTGAGAAATTGGTTTTTGTTCAGATGCCTTTCTTATACATTAGCAGTTTGCGACTGATTAATAAGATCCTCTCTCCTCTCCCCTTTCCAACCTTTGGAAAATCTGTGCAGCTTTGGCTTGTGCTTGGTGTCTTCTTGATGGCAACAACCCTTAGGATGTATGCGACTTGCCAACAACTTCAAGCTCAGGCCCAGGTCCACGCCGTGGCTGCCAATAGCCTTCTTGGTCATACTGAATTGCGGTTGCATATGCCACCGTCCATAGCACTTGCAACAAGAGGACGTCTGCAAGGCCTTAGGCTTCAGCTTGCTCTTCTGGACCGTGAATTTGATGAATTAGGTTTAGTGGCATACTTTGACTTCGATTTTTTGGAGATCATCTTCTGTGATTATCATGTATTTCAAGATTTTTCATCTTTTCATGCTATATGTTTTATTGACATTTGTGAGAGGTGGTTAACAGATCAGTTATATTTGTTTGCAGACTATGAAACTTTGAGAGCACTGGATTCTGATAATGTTCCAACAGTTCCATCAATGAGTGAAGAAGAGATCAATGCTCTTCCAGTCCACAAATACAAGGTTACTGGTCTTCCAGGGTAAGACTGCACAGGCACGAGAGATTAATCAAATAATTTAGTTTTTTTTTTTTTTTTGGCTTTTCTGTTTGCAGGGTTACTCCTCTCTGTTTCTTAGCTTTTGCAGTGACTTGTTGTAGTTTAAGATGGCCTAAGTAATGCTAGTTATACAATGTCTTTATAGCATAATTTCATGGGTTGTACTATCTATAGGTTTTATCTGTGCGCTAAATAATCAACTTGTTTCTTACAGTAATGGCTCCTCTGCAGAACATGGCTCATCTTCATTATCCACTGAGGTATTGACTGCACCATCTTGTATTGTGCAGCATAACATCTAGAATATCACGTGGATGTCCGCTCTTTTTCCCCCTGAACATGTGTCAGGCGTGGTGATTTGTTATTTTGCTGTGCGAAACATTACGATGGTTTACTTATTATCTGAAGATGGTGTACAATTGTAGTCCTAAGGCTCATGGATCTTTATCTTCATGCATCGTTTGAGGTTTGAGCTGTCCACGATGCTGATACATTGATGACTTTGTTCTTGCTGAATGTTCATGGAAGGATTAGCTTTCTGCATCCCAATTATAGTAATGGGTCGTGTTCTTTGATGAATGGTGTCAGTTGAGCATGAATGTCTGTTTGCACGTTTTCAGGAGAAAAAGCAAGATGTAGGTGCTGCCGCTGGGAGCATGAAGAGTTCAGATGACGAGCTGATGTGCAGTGTATGCTTGGAGCAAGTTTCGGCAGGAGAGCTCATCCGAAGCTTGCCGTGCATGCATCAGGTAAATCCCATCGTGATTATTTTTCCTTTCACTTGATTTACCAGAATTTCAAGTTTCGTCCATCAAGTAACAAGTCTGCCAAATATCGTTGGTTTGTCGGAATAAGTCAGACCCACAAACTATAATTTTCCACTAACCATATGTGGCTATTTTGTTGCCAAGTCTTATGATAATTTCTTTTGTGGATTGCACATGAGGCATTATTGTTGCGCAGCGACAACTTATATTTGTTGGGATTAGATCATCGTGAAAATTTGACAGAAATAATGTCTTTAATGATAAATTGGATTTCATAGAGAAGGTATCAAGGGGGTACCACCCAACTCATGTCCGCTTTATCGTGCTATTAGTTATGTTCTTTTTAAGAAAACTGACGAATTTGATGGATGCTGTTATTTCGCAGTTCCATGCAACTTGCATCGATCCATGGCTGAGACAGCAGGGAACGTGTCCTGTTTGTAAATTCAGAGTTGCGTCCGGATGGCGTGAAAATGGGCGAGGAATCGACGCTACATTCATGGTCTGATTAGTGGCAAAGCCATTGTTGTATTATCATCTGGTGAAGTACCAATTGTGCTGTAGATATCCTAATGCGTCGATTGAGGCAGAGCCTTCGATGATTTGTCAGTCACAGGCATTGTGAAGAAGCAGGATTGATGATTGTCATTTATTCTTTAAATGGCATCAGAGAGTCTTGCTATTACCTATAACCAAAAAAGAGGAATTTTAACGAAGTCATTGTTATACGCTCTCTGTTGACAGGCCTCAAGAGTTGAATTACCATTTACCACCAATTCATGCAACCCGGAACACCAACGCGCTGTTAAGCGCTCTGCAATATTATTTGCAGTTTCTCTGTACAAGACATGGGGACATACTCGAAACTCGAAAGCCACCGTAATCAAAATACCATACTTCATGTAGTACATACTTTTTCCTTTACGGTCAGTTTTGCTCCCTCAAAACGAAGCCGACAAACATTATATAGAATGCTTATACAATAAAAATCAAGCACAACGTCAAGTGGAAAGTATGAGCTTAACTTGTATTCCACAAAACTCAGGGTTAATATCCTAGCCAAGTTTAAGGGAAGCATGAAGCAAAACTGAGTTATTATCTACTTGAGAATTCCTTATAAGGCTGTTCATTTTGCTTTTCCCTTTCCCTTCCCATGACCTTTCTTCGCATCCAGTTTGGCCTGAACACGAGCAGCGGCCGCAGCTTTAGCTTCTTCCCTCCTCTTCTTCTCTTCCTCCTTGGTTGCGGCAGCCATCTCCCTTTGCTTCTTCAGCTCCCTATTGAGGATTCCAACAATGAAAAACCATCAAAATTTTCTTTTCTGACGTACTACCAGCGATGATAATAAAAAATTCATAAACTCCACATTTCCTTAAATACGTCGCAGAACATTTCCCAGATGACTTACTCAAGCCTAGCCTTGTCTTCGGTGACACTGGTCACTGTAAAGCCCTTGCACGGCTTGCATGCAACTAACTCCACCTCAAAAATAAGGGTTGCACTGCATAAGCAAGTGATAAACACATCAAACTATTTCTTCCATAAAAATAAAGAGTTTTTTCAGGAACTTCACAAGTAAGCTTTCATGATGATGCATGAACATGCCATATTCATAAATAGTCAGGACAGCTTGTTAAAAGCATCTAGAAATTTCAAGCTTTCACCAGCCCAAAACCCCAACTGACATTCTGCTTCTCTCTTCTCGACGAACAAAACGTAGGGTCGTCATATAGTGGTTATATATAATGGTAAAGAATTAGAAGAGCACAGATATTACTCTGGTGGGATATCAGGTGGAGAACCCGCGCTGCCATAGGCATATTCTGGCTTACATGTGATTTTTGCAACCTCCCCAACCTAACAAAATCAAGAAAGAAGTGCATTCAATGGAGACACAATACGCGCTTTCAGAATTCAACAAGTTATAAATCCTTTACCTTCATAGTTCTCAATGCAATGTCCCAAGCACTGATCACTGAGCCTTTTCCGATCTCAAAGGAGAATAGAGTATTGTCTTCATGTGTTGAGTCAAAGACTTCACCAGTTTCAGCAAGAACTCCTTCATAACGAACTGCTCAATAAAAAGACAAACAATCAGACATTTAAGAGCAACTTTCCACCTAAATGTAGCTATTAGGATTGTCATTCTTACTTTTCAAACTTTTACAAACAATGTAGATGCACTCTCTAACCCCAACATTGTACTTCTTACTTAAGAGGCTTACAATAAGGCAATGAGTTTAAGTAAGCTGCTATGTGGCTGAATTGTGCATAGCATCAAGAAAGAAATAAAGGTTCCTATCTTCTTCCTGATTTTACTTGGTGTAATTATGCGGCTCTCTGGTCCAGCAATCAACTTTAGGAGCACTATCACAAGATGGGCAGATAAATTTCCTTACTGTTAAGGGTCAAGGCCTAGCATTCATCACTAGTAAATTGTTAAAACGAAATCTAAGGCGGTATGACAATGATTTCAAAAGCTCTATGATGATTGCCACCATCTAATGAGAACAAAGAATAGGGCTGCATCACAACTAACTGTAGTATGGTCTGGCGCTGTAAGAAAAGAATAAAACTTTGCGACTAGTTTGTCAGCTAACTGCAATAAGGTATTGTTACTACAAGAAAAGAAAATAGCAGTATACAACACCGAGCCCAGGGTTCATCCGGAAGGTCTATTCTTGTATAGATCAACTTTAAGGATGTCCACTGATAGAAACAGAAGATCAAAGGCACCTTTTTTTCCTATTCCTTTTACAAATGGAACTGTTGCACTTTGCTATAAATACTTTTTGTATACATTGATTCGGTGGGGCTTCATTTTCAAGAAAGTGCTATTTCCAGTAACATATGAAGAACTAAAAGGTGGATTTTGACTGGAGTACTACTTGATACCAACGCCAAATGATATGCGGAGTATTAGTTGTGTAGGAAGACAAAAAAGGCCTTAAATAAGGTATCAAATTCATGGTCTTGTGTCCTCATATGCACATACAAGATTATCACACACATGACTGTCGTTTTAATCAAATCAATTAGCTGCATACCATCAACAAGAGGAATGGTCTCTGAAGGAGAGACTGCATCAGGTTTTGCTCGTCTCACAATTGTCTTCAGGACCCCTCCATCACCGGTCAAATCGATTGCTTCAGCCATGACTTTTATGAAAAGCCTGGTTGTATGGAAAGAGTAACTGAGTTACAGATGCATGCCAAAAGGCTTCTATTGGGTCACGATACTCGATCCGAGAAGAAGAATAAGAAGAAGAAGGAGATGATGTGCTCGACATGCTTTACAACCTAAAAAAATTACAAGTAAAACCGAGATAAGGTTATATTTCTAGGTACAAGATAAATAACTGAAAAGTTGAACTACACAAAAACCGCTCGTCCGAACTTCCAAGGAGCATCCCCAAGTAAGTCATCAAGAACGTCCATTGGTTCACTTCACCTTCAACTAATTAATATTTCACAAATCTTAGCAATCAATGTATATATGGTGAAATGCACTTTCGAAGATTGAAAAAAAGAAAGGACGAAAAGCTCACTCTGAATCGTAAGCCTCGTGCAGGAATGATACCCGAGTGCTAAACTTTTCAATTCGTGCATTCAGGCTTCGTTTGTATTGCGGAAAATGACTAATTTGGAAAACATTTTCCTAAAATTGATCGCTTAAATCGCTTAGAAAATGAAAGAAACGAATTTTTTTTTTATCATCTATGAAAATGGTTAGACATAAATTATTGTCATTAATGATAACATTTTTCATTAACTAATTTTAGGCGATACAAGTGATCATTTTTAGGAAAATTTTATCCAAATCAGTCATTTTCTGCAAAACAAACGGAGCATCAAGTATCAAACCTTCTACAAAAAAGGAAAAACGCAATCAAATCCTACCATATCGACTATTCCGCATAGCAGAAACAAGAGCCGTGACGATCGGGACAGCTTAATTGCTGCTCTTTTCAGTAAGTCTAGGACTCAGATCGCTGCTAATCGAAAGATTCGTCACTCCATTCCACAGAATCCATACTCTTCCCAGACAAAAGAACACCGATTCAACTAAGCCCTATGCGCAAACAGTGACCGTACGAAGCTGACAAACACATCCTCTGATAATCAAAGCCAAGGGACAAGCAGTAATCTTCATCCTCCACACGCCCCGTTACCAACCCCAACACAGCATCCCCCAGAGGCTTAAACCACGATCAAGCACCGAGATTCTCGTGAACCGGCAACAGATTCGTCTCGGCATCCGAACATCGCACTACATCCATACATCCACCAAAAAAGAAATGCCAAAGAAGAAAAAGAACAAAGAAAAAGAAAGAAAACAATCGATGCGAGGATTCAACACGGACGAGGACACACAGAGAGAGCTCAGAACTGACCGGATCGACAAGATCAGCCACAGCGGTCGGCGAAGGCGAAGGAGGAGCGGGAGTGGAGGAGTTGATCGAGCTGCGTCACAGATCGGCGACCGGCGGCCATACAAGCTGCTGCTGCTGCTTCCGCGCGGCTTCTCGTCTCTCTCCTTCTCCCCTTGCTTTTGTCACTGCAAACTGTAGATAAAAAGCGGGCTCCTTCCGGGTTTACGCCACGTGGGCCACCGGAGGCCCGCCGGGTCCGAGTATATCCGGCGGCATATCTTCGGCCCAAATCAAGACATGATTTAGCACCCAAATCCAACAATCTTAACATAATCACATATCGGCGTTTGTCTGTTTCGCGAAAAAATAAACGGTTTGAAAAATATTATTCTAACACACGATTGGTTGCATCTCTCGAAATAATTAGCTAACAAAAAATTTCTTCATTATAGACAGCAATTTATGCCTAAACATTTTTGTGAACAATGAAAATATTTTTCATTTGTACATTTTCATAAACGGCGCGAGCAATCATTTTTTAGGAAATTTTTTTTCAAAATGTGAGTTTTCCTCGAAACAAACGGACCCTAAAGTATTGTTAGGTTCATTGCTAGTGCAACAAAAGGCTTACATATTCACCGTCGAACGAATGGATATGTCCTTTTTGAGTTAATTTTGTAACCGAATTCGTCCTCACGTCATTAATAAATTATTTTTTGTACACTGATAGTGAACCTAATGAAAACTCATTATATATTGGGTTAATACCATGAACAACCCCAAACTGGTATATCTGTGACAAATTTATCCCAAACTAATTTTTTGACCACAAAAAATCCCAAACTGGTACACTTACGACAAATTTACCCTAAACATATTTTTTGACAACCAAAAACTCCAAACTGGTACATTTGTGACAAATTTAACTTCCTTTAAATTGGATTAACACCACTAAAAATCACAATTTGATACACCTGTGACAAACGAAGTGTAAAAATCCAAACCGGTATACCTGTCAACTGTCACATGTCATCAAAATCAGAAATTTGATGGTAAAATTTAACGGAAACTAATTGAGAGTAAATTTGTCACGGGTGTACAAGTTTGGGATTTTTGGTTATCAAAAAATTAGTTTGGGATAAATTTATTACAAGTATATAGATTTTGAGTTTTTCGTGGTATTAATCCTTATATATTCGCTCACTTTGTTCATGGAGAGACGAGTCGTGCTCTAAACTTTCAATTTAACCTACTCTTGTAAATCGAGAAACTTTTAACTTTTTTCCTGGACATGACCATTTTCTTTATTAAAATCTACCACTTTGAATAACTAATCACCACTATGGAGAATAAGGATTTATTATTGGCACCGCCCGTTTTACATGGCACTATTGGCGTCCACATCAGCGTTTTCGGTTAAAATTGATCGGTTTGACTCAATTGACAAAACATGAAAATATTTAGGTCTCAATTAATAAAAGTGAAAAGTTCATGACTAAATTGATAAAAAATATAATAAATTTAAAACTTTTTGAATAATTTTCCAGCTAATTAATCCTTAGCAAAAAGTGGTGCTTTTTATAAAGCAAGGTGCAAGTGCAATCATTAATTTGCAATCTAGGAAAATAATGGACCCAAATCTTCAAGTAATCCATGTATCCACACCGATCGATCGGTTTGACCGATCAATCATTAGATGAATCATTCTCGCGATTTCGTGGGGGCCTACTACGCCTTAGGTCTCTCGTTCTTTGTCCTTAATCTCGTAGGCGACTTGGAAAACAATGATTAACTCGATAAACCTTTGATTAGGCTGCCGAAAATGCGCATGAAAAGAAGATAAAATGACAAGGAAAGCTCAGGTACTGTTTTTGCTTTGACCGTGACTAAAGCTCGAGAACATGGAAATTGCAACTTTGGTTCTGATCTAGTGCTATTTGGATTCAATTTTGAGGCCTTAAAAGAAGTGCATTGACATAGACGATGGGAATTGAGGCTAATCTGACAAAAAATTTATCCACCCGACTTGATGAATTATACCAAAAAGTTTAACCTACGACTGATCTACCGAAGGGGGGAAATTGAACATCATATATATCGCAATAATCGAGAATCCCACAAGTTTTATTTTAGGTGACAATCAAAACAAACTATACATCTTTCTCTCTTTATTTTTTCCCGATTTTAACAAAAAAAATATCGACGGAAAAAGTCATGTATTAAGTGAACTCAAGATCAACAGGTCGGTCATCTCTCGCTCTGGACGACCATCATTTCGTGCAGGGGGGGCGGGCGAGTTAATGGTCAGGACTTTTCACCGTGTCGAATCGAAAAGTAAAAAACCACAATAGTCAAAGCCGAGATCGGTGAAAAAAGATTACAATGATAGCACCAAAAAACATTAGAAACATCTCTCTGCACAGCACTCGAGCAGTTGCCACCAAACAAATGCGGCAGTAACTAATGCCCTCCTTTCCCCCTTCGAGATCGAGAACCATTCTTCCAATCGGTTTTGGCCAACGACACGAGGTTGAATCGGAGGTGGTCCAGGAACGGTCAAGCTGGAATCCCTTCCCCTTGAAGGGCTTGAAAGTCGCAAGAAAGAGCTTGCAAAACAAAAGGGTCTTTCCAATTTTGGCTTTTGTACCCCCACGGGATTTCTTCCTTTACATTTCAATCGAAGCGCATCAAATTGGAAAGGGCGCCCCCATCAATAGGAGGTGGCGTCATCCACGATGCAACCCTTTTCTTAGCTCCAATTCATCCTCTTCCTTTTGGCCCCCACCACCCCCTCGAAATCAAGTCACGAACACAATCAATCGAGTCGACGACGTCCATGACCTACTCTCGCAACCCTAGGCACTAAAGCTGTCATTGCCCTATTCTGAGGCACGTTCGTATTATTTTAATTGAATTCCTAGCAGTAGCATAGTACCCCGTCGTTCGCCCTGTTGTCACTCATGCGCACCAGATCCTCGCATCAAGGTTCAATTCGACACACTAGATTCGGTAGCACTGGATGGTTCGGTGCAGACACGAGCGAGAAGCTCTGGTGAGAGCTATGGATTCGGCCGGCAGCGAATTTTTGGCCGGCAGCGAATTTTTGGCTGTGAATTTTAGCTCGAGAACGAGATGAGTCAACACGTCGTGTCGCGAAGTTCAAAGTGATGTGATTACGTTAGTTGGTGCAGAGATTACTGATGCCAACGATGCATCTTCCTCTGTTTCTGCTTCGACTTCAGAAAGTTACAGCTGGGAGGGGAGAGAACAGCAGGGCTCAGGCTCAGAGTCAGACCTCAGCTAGAAGAACTGAACTCAAGAACATTGATGGAAGGAAGAAGAAAGAAGCCAAGAATCATGTACACGGAATTAAATTCGTTTATTTCCCAGTAACGTACCACTTACATCCACCTCTCCTTTCCCTTCACCGAGAGTCAACAGAGCTCTAACATCAATCCGAGATTTGAACTGGATCAGCAAAATGAAAGCAAGAAAAGAGGGGGGGAAATCTTTGCATGCGTTTCGCAAAATCTTCCTCTTTATCATCTTCCTCGGACGCCACTACGGAAACACCCAAAAACCAAAGCCTAAAAACAGGGGGCTTTTCTTGTTCTCAGGTCAAACCCAATCAAGAACCATCGCACAAAAAGAGAGGCGCAAGATCTTACAAAGAAGAAGAAGAAGAAGAAAAAGATCCATCCTTTTGTTAGACCGATGATCGGGGCCGGCTGATTTCGCGAACCCAGATACGAATCATCATCGGAGTCGTCGCCCGCGAACGTGTTCGATGATGTGATACGAGCAGAGCACAGCAGCGCGAATCCAATCCATCAGTCGCCGTAGTCGCGCCAGCAGAGGAGCATGGTGACGCAGCGCCTCATGATGTAGAACCGCGCCCTCTGCTCGCCCACCAGCCTCGCGCACCTCCTGGCGAAAGCGCACCTCCCCGGCGACGGCGGCCGCGACCGCGACGGCGGCGCCGCCGCTTCCTTCCGCGACAGCTTCCACTTGTCGTCGAAGTAAACCGCTGGCGCGTGATTGCCAGCCATGCGGAAGATCTTGTCTTCTCCAAGAAAGAAAGAAAGGAAGAGAGAAATCAAAGCCCGCTCTTTATGGTTTGGTTGGTTGAATGAAGTTGTCTCTTTCCCGTTTCCGCTGCCGTGGTGGGTTACCGCTGACGCACACAGAGAGAGAGAGAGATTACAGCTGAGGGAAGACGACGATGTGACTGAGAGAGAGAGAGAGAGTATTTATGAAGTGAAGCGATGGAGGGAGGAAGACGACGAAACAGAGAAGGGGGAACTGGTGCCGGGAGTGGGAAATGTTTTGGTGAGATCATCGTCCTCGTCGGGCCCCACCTGATATTTTTGTGTTTTTTTTTTCTCAAAACCATAATGATCGTGGAAAAAATCAAAATTCGAGGCTCCCTAGGCTACCTTGAAATCGAAATGCATGAATTTCCGAAGTTGCCACTATAGATAATAACATGGGAAAAAAAAGCTCGATGTTCGACAAATGTCCGAAGGACATCTGAATGACAAAACCTTCATCGTGCATTCATGATGTACAGAAAAATTATTCGAACGATCAACTAAGGACATTTTTGTAGTTTCTCCAATGCATTGTGTTCTTGTTATTAGTAATTGATATTTTAAATATCAAAACGTTTTTCACGAAATTCGAGGAAAAAAACTTTCAAAAACTCCAAACTATGCTCATTATGACACATTTACCCTAAATATTTTTTTTTGTAACACCAAAAATCCACATACTTGTACTCGTGTGATACATTTACCCCGTGTCAATATTCTGCCAATGAGCACCGTTAAAAATCTATTTTCATGAATGGCGAAAGGCAAACTGTATTGACAATGGCATCTACATAGCTTAAGTGAAACAAAAATGACATCGTTTTAACTGGAAAATCATCTGGCTGAGCCTTGATGGAGGGTAAATGTGACACGTAGGTATAAGTTTGAGATCTTTGATGTCACGAGAAAAATTTTAGGGTAAATGCATCACGGTGGGTATAGATTGGAGTTTTTTTATTTCACAGAAAAAATTAAGATAAATGTGTCATAGTGCATATAATTTGAGTTTTTTATGAGTTTTTTTCCCACGAATTATGCCTAACAAGTGCTCGGATAGTATGCCAAGTTTCGTGATTTCATTTTGGTGGGAAA